ATTTTGTAAAACTTTGAGAGATCATAACTTTTTTTCTATTATAGATAGAAAGCTGAATCTTTCACTGAATTTTATCTTTTTCAAAGGACTACAATCCCTGAAAATTTCAGCTCATTTGCACTTATAGTTCCTGAGATAAAATCGCGTTAAGAAATTTGGGGTGATTTATCAATTTTTCAATTTTTCTGAGTGCCTTTTTTCATAGATTTCGGCTTCAAATCTGAGAATAATGTTGTGTATGGAGTTTGGGGTATGTTGATTGACCATTAGGATACAAAATCTCGATAAAAAAAATTTTGAAATTTCATCGTTTTAGTAAGAAGGTACCTACCTTATGATTTAGATTTTGTAAAACTTTGAGAGATCATAACTTTTTTTCTATTATAGATAGAAAGCTGAATCTTTCACTGAATTTTATCGTTTTCAAAGGACTACAATCCCTGAAAATTTCAGCTCATTTGCACTTATAGTTCCTGAGATAAAATCGCGTTAAGAAATTTGGGGTGATTTATCAATTTTTCAATTTTTCTGAGTGCCTTTTTTCATAGATTTCGGCTTCAAATCTGAGAATAATGTTGTGTATGGAGTTTGGGGTATGTTGATTGACCATTAGGATACAAAATCTCGATAAAAAAAATTTTCAAATTTCATCGTTTTAGGAAGAAGGTACCTACCTTATGATTTAGATTTTGTAAAACTTTGAGAGATCATAACTTTTTTTCTATTATAGATAGAAAGCTGAATCTTTCACTGAATTTTATCTTTTTCAAAGGACTACAATCCCTGAAAATTTCAGCTCATTTGCACTTATAGTTCCTGAGATAAAATCGCGTTAAGAAATTTGGGGTGATTTATCAATTTTTCAATTTTTCTGAGTGCCTTTTTTCATAGATTTCGGCTTCAAATCTGAGAATAATGTTGTGTATGGAGTTTGGGGTATGTTGATTGACCATTAGGATACAAAATCTCGATAAAAAAAAATTTGAAATTTCATCGTTTTAGTAAGAAGGTACCTACCTTATGATTTAGATTTTGTAAAACTTTGAGAGATCATAACTTTTTTTCTATTATAGATAGAAAGCTGAATCTTTCACTGAATTTTATCGTTTTCAAAGGACTACAATCCCTGAAAATTTCAGCTCATTTGCACTTATAGTTCCTGAGATAAAATCGCGTTAAGAAATTTGGGGTGATTTATCAATTTTTCAATTTTTCTGAGTGCCTTTTTTCATAGATTTCGGCTTCAAATCTGAGAATAATGTTGTGTATGGAGTTTGGGGTATGTTGATTGACCATTAGGATACAAAATCTCGATAAAAAAAAATTTGAAATTTCATCGTTTTAGTAAGAAGGTACCTACCTTATGATTTAGATTTTGTAAAACTTTGAGAGATCATAACTTTTTTTCTATTATAGATAGAAAGCTGAATCTTTCACTGAATTTTATCGTTTTCAAAGGACTACAATCCCTGAAAATTTCAGCTCATTTGCACTTATAGTTCCTGAGATAAAATCGCGTTAAGAAATTTGGGGTGATTTATCAATTTTTCAATTTTTCTGAGTGCCTTTTTTCATAGATTTCGGCTTCAAATCTGAGAATAATGTTGTGTATGGAGTTTGGGGTATGTTGATTGACCATTAGGATACAAAATCTCGATAAAAAAAATTTTGAAATTTCATCGTTTTAGTAAGAAGGTACCTACCTTATGATTTAGATTTTGTAAAACTTTGAGAGATCATAACTTTTTTTCTATTATAGATAGAAAGCTGAATCTTTCACTGAATTTTATCGTTTTCAAAGGACTACAATCCCTGAAAATTTCAGCTCATTTGCACTTATAGTTCCTGAGATAAAATCGCGTTAAGAAATTTGGGGTGATTTATCAATTTTTCAATTTTTCTGAGTGCCTTTTTTCATAGATTTCGGCTTCAAATCTGAGAATAATGTTGTGTATGGAGTTTGGGGTATGTTGATTGACCATTAGGATACAAAATCTCGATAAAAAAAATTTTCAAATTTCATCGTTTTAGGAAGAAGGTACCTACCTTATGATTTAGATTTTGTAAAACTTTGAGAGATCATAACTTTTTTTCTATTATAGATAGAAAGCTGAATCTTTCACTGAATTTTATCTTTTTCAAAGGACTACAATCCCTGAAAATTTCAGCTCATTTGCAATTATAGTTCCTGAGATAAAATCGCGTTAAGAAATTTGGGGTGATTTATCAATTTTTCAATTTTTCTGAGTGCCTTTTTTCATAGATTTCGGCTTCAAATCTGAGAATAATGTTGTGTATGGAGTTTGGGGTATGTTGATTGACCATTAGGATACAAAATCTCGATAAAAAAAAATTTGAAATTTCATCGTTTTAGTAAGAAGGTACCTACCTTATGATTTAGATTTTGTAAAACTTTGAGAGATCATAACTTTTTTTCTATTATAGATAGAAAGCTGAATCTTTCACTGAATTTTATCGTTTTCAAAGGACTACAATCCCTGAAAATTTCAGCTCATTTGCACTTATAGTTCCTGAGATAAAATCGCGTTAAGAAATTTGGGGTGATTTATCAATTTTTCAATTTTTCTGAGTGCCTTTTTTCATAGATTTCGGCTTCAAATCTGAGAATAATGTTGTGTATGGAGTTTGGGGTATGTTGATTGACCATTAGGATACAAAATCTCGATAAAAAAAATTTTCAAATTTCATCGTTTTAGGAAGAAGGTACCTACCTTATGATTTAGATTTTGTAAAACTTTGAGAGATCATAACTTTTTTTCTATTATAGATAGAAAGCTGAATCTTTCACTGAATTTTATCTTTTTCAAAGGACTACAATCCCTGAAAATTTCAGCTCATTTGCACTTATAGTTCCTGAGATAAAATCGCGTTAAGAAATTTGGGGTGATTTATCAATTTTTCAATTTTTCTGAGTGCCTTTTTTCATAGATTTCGGCTTCAAATCTGAGAATAATGTTGTGTATGGAGTTTGGGGTATGTTGATTGACCATTAGGATACAAAATCTCGATAAGAAAAAATTTGAAATTTCATCGTTTTAGTAAGAAGGTACCTACCTTATGATTTAGATTTTGTAAAACTTTGAGAGATCATAACTTTTTTTCTATTATAGATAGAAAGCTGAATCTTTCACTGAATTTTATCTTTTTCAAAGGACTACAATCCCTGAAAATTTCAGCTCATTTGCACTTATAGTTCCTGAGATAAAATCGCGTTAAGAAATTTGGGGTGATTTATCAATTTTTCAATTTTTCTGAGTGCCTTTTTTCATAGATTTCGGCTTCAAATCTGAGAATAATGTTGTGTATGGAGTTTGGGGTATGTTGATTGACCATTAGGATACAAAATCTCGATAAAAAAAAATTTGAAATTTCATCGTTTTAGTAAGAAGGTACCTACCTTATGATTTAGATTTTGTAAAACTTTGAGAGATCATAACTTTTTTTCTATTATAGATAGAAAGCTGAATCTTTCACTGAATTTTATCGTTTTCAAAGGACTACAATCCCTGAAAATTTCAGCTCATTTGCACTTATAGTTCCTGAGATAAAATCGCGTTAAGAAATTTGGGGTGATTTATCAATTTTTCAATTTTTCTGAGTGCCTTTTTTCATAGATTTCGGCTTCAAATCTGAGAATAATGTTGTGTATGGAGTTTGGGGTATGTTGATTGACCATTAGGATACAAAATCTCGATAAAAAAAATTTTCAAATTTCATCGTTTTAGGAAGAAGGTACCTACCTTATGATTTAGATTTTGTAAAACTTTGAGAGATCATAACTTTTTTTCTATTATAGATAGAAAGCTGAATCTTTCACTGAATTTTATCGTTTTCAAAGGACTACAATCCCTGAAAATTTCAGCTCATTTGCACTTATAGTTCCTGAGATAAAATCGCGTTAAGAAATTTGGGGTGATTTATCAATTTTTCAATTTTTCTGAGTGCCTTTTTTCATAGATTTCGGCTTCAAATCTGAGAATAATGTTGTGTATGGAGTTTGGGGTATGTTGATTGACCATTAGGATACAAAATCTCGATAAAAAAAATTTTGAAATTTCATCGTTTTAGTAAGAAGGTACCTACCTTATGATTTAGATTTTGTAAAACTTTGAGAGATCATAACTTTTTTTCTATTATAGATAGAAAGCTGAATCTTTCACTGAATTTTATCGTTTTCAAAGGACTACAATCCCTGAAAATTTCAGCTCATTTGCACTTATAGTTCCTGAGATAAAATCGCGTTAAGAAATTTGGGGTGATTTATCAATTTTTCAATTTTTCTGAGTGCCTTTTTTCATAGATTTCGGCTTCAAATCTGAGAATAATGTTGTGTATGGAGTTTGGGGTATGTTGATTGACCATTAGGATACAAAATCTCGATAAGAAAAAATTTGAAATTTCATCGTTTTAGTAAGAAGGTACCTACCTTATGATTTAGATTTTGTAAAACTTTGAGAGATCGTAACTTTTTTTCTATTATAGATAGAAAGCTGAATCTTTCACTGAATTTTATCTTTTTCAAAGGACTACAATCCTTGAAAATTTCAGCTCATTTGCACTTATAGTTCCTGAGATAAAATCGCGTTAAGAAATTTGGGGTGATTTATCATCAATTTTTCAATTTTTCTGAGTGCCTTTTTTCATAGATTTCGGCTTCAAATCTGAGAATAATGTTGTGTATGGAGTTTGGGGTATGTTGATTGACCATTAGGATACACAATCTCGATAAAAAAAAATTGAAATTTCATCGTTTTAGTAAGAAGGTACCCCCCTTATGATTTTTTTGTAAAACTTTGAAAGGTCATAACTTTTTTTTCTATTATAGATAGAAAGCTGAATCTTTCACTGAATTTCATCTTCCTAATTATTCCCGGTCCTTGAGGACCTCTAGAAAAATTACCCACTAGGTTCCTGAACCTAAAACCCATAAACTAAGCACCGGGAACACATTCACCACCCAATTTCCTAATAAATTACAGGTTTACCCAACTGAATTAGAAGCCCGGCTCGAGTTTCAAGAATTCAAAGAGTGGCTGCACACCTTTGAATTGTATAGAGGCAAGAAAACTGGAGAAGAATCTGAAGATGATAATCGAATTGTGGGATCTTTTAAGGTACTTAATAAAAAATTTGAAATCAAAAAAATCCTTAGAAAAAATATGTTTCATTAGGGTGCAATCAAAGTATATAAATGGCCATTACCAAAAGACACCGAAGACAAAACTATCATGGGCTTCGATCCTCAGTACGGCTTTTTTCAAGGCATTCCCTCAAATGACCCGATCCGAGTACTCGTACGAGTCTACATAGTAAAAGCCAACGATTTACACCCGATGGATTTAAACGGCAAAGCGGATCCTTACGTTGTACTACAACTAGGCTCCAAGCGAATCAGCGATAAGGAAAATTACATTTCCAAGCAATTGAATCCAGTATTTGGAAAATGCTTCGAAATTGAAGCAACATTTCCGCAAGACTCTTTATTGACTGTACAAATTTTCGATTGGGATCTTGTAGGCTCTGACGAAATGGTTGGAGAAACGAAAATCGATTTGGAGAATAGGTTTTATAGCAAACATAGAGCTACATGTGGACTTCCAGAGAAATATGAAGAGTATATTTATATAAATATCAAGTGACTTTAACTTAAGTATGTTTTCAGACAAGGCTATAATGCTTGGAGAGACGCAATGAAACCAACCCAAATCCTAGCCAGACTATGCAAAGACACCAAACTAGAACAACCCACATACAGTGATGGCCAAATAAAAATTGGCAATCAACTATTCCCAATTCAAAACGAAGATTTCGAGTTTTACAAGTTTAGAGAACGAGAAGAACATATGGCTCTGGCAGTGTTGCATCGTTGGCACGAGTTTCCGAAAATCGGTTGCCATTTGGTGCCCGAGCACATTGAAACCAGACCACTGTTCAATCCAGATAAGCCTGGAATTGAACAGGGCAAGTTGGAAATGTGGGTTGATATGTTTCCTATGGATATGCCCTTGCCTGGACCGCCTTTGGATATATCGCCCAGGAAACCGAAAAGTTATGAGTTGAGAGTGATTATTTGGAATACTGATGAAGTTGTTTTGGAAGATGATGCTTTCTTTACTGGAGAGAAAATGTCTGATATTTACGTTAAGGGTTGGCTTAAGGGGCCTGAAGATTGTCAATGCACTGACATACATTACAGGTCTTTAACAGGAGAAGGCAATTTCAATTGGAGATTTATTTTTCCTTTTGACTATTTGGTGGCGGAGCAGAAAATCGTAATTTCTAGAAAGGAATCTTTATTTTCTTGGGACGAAACCGAGTGTAAAATACCTGCCAGATTGGAATTGCAAGTTTGGGATGCTGATCATTTTTCTGCAGATGATTTTTTAGGTACCTAAGTATCCAACCCCTATAAATAATTAATCAATTATTACAATTCTAGGTGCAATTACATTGGATCTTAATCGATTTCCACGAGGTGCAAAGTCTTCGAAACTGTGTACGTTGGACATGCTAAAATCGGATGAAACTGTTCCAACGGTGAATATTTTCAAGCAAAAACGTGTAAAAGGCTGGTGGCCGTTTTACATTAAAAAAGACAACGAGGAAATGGAATTGACTGGAAAAGTTGAAGCTGAAATACATCTTTTGACCAAAGAGGAAGCTGAAAGAGTGCCTGTAGGATTAGGCAGAAATGAACCTGATCCTTTAGAAAAACCCAAGTAAAGATTTAATAATAAAATACCTATGGATTTAATTTATTGTTGATTTTTTTTCTAGTCGACCAGATTCTTCGTTTATGTGGTTTATGAACCCAATCAAATCAATCAGGTACATTTTGTGGCACAATTACAAGTGGACAATCCTGAAACTGCTCATTATTATCGGGCTTGCAATAATAATTTTACTTTTCTTCTACTCTATACCTGGATATACTGTTAAGAAAATGCTCGGTGCTTGAAGCTGTTTTATTCTAATCTAAGCTCAAAAAAGATAATCTTTATATATTCTTCTTATTGTGTATATTTGTGTGTGATTTATTGAATTTTGAATTTATTAGGTATTTTGCACATATGGAATGTATTTATTCTATTTTGTCACTATTTAGCTTTTGATCAAAAATAAACGATATATTATGAAATAGGTAGTTGAATGATTTTTTTTAAGGTAAAGTACCTACCTAGTTGAGGAGAAGACATTCGTGTTTTCTCTATTCCAGGCTCTTTTATTTTGAGAAATTCAAGAGCCAGGAATAGACAAAAATTGATTTGAGAAATGGAGAGAAAGAAATGTAGAAAAGTTAAGAAAAAAATAGTGGATAAGACAACTTTCATGTTTTTTCTATTACAGACAAAATCTTTCATTGACTATATCTCAGTAAGTTTAAGCGGCATCAAGTCAAATTTTATTGAGTTAGTAGCTCTCATTGACTACTTGAATACCTCATTTGGAAAATATTTTAATCACTTGTAGTTTTTGGGTTATTTAATCTTGAAGTTTTTGATAAAATCTCAATCAAATCCAAACTTTGAAGCCTAATTTCTCAAAGCCTATAAAAGCAATTGAGTTAGTTTTTGGAAGTTTTATAGAGAATTTAATCTTCTTTCAGAAAATCTATATTACAAGTTGATTCGTTGAGAATTGCCAAAACTGTGAGCAAATTTGTAAGACCATGTCAGATTTTAAGAAAATTTTTGGAATCAAAATTGAGATTTGCTTTTCAATTTTTTTTCTCATAAAATCAACCTCCTGAAAATATTCTAGGATTTTTTTTCGACTAATTTTGACCTCTTCTTTCGAATGGGAAAGTTAAATTTCACAAAAATTCAAAAATTGAAAGTTTTCATTTTTCAAGCAAGGCTACTCCCCCTTTGGATTTTTAATTCAAAATATTTCATTGACAATATCTCAATAAATATTAGCGGTATCAAGTCAAATTTTTCTGAGTTTGTAACTCTCAATACCTTATCTAGAAAATATTTGATTACTTAGGGTTTTTGAGCTATTTGATCTTGAAGTTTTTGACAAAATCTCAATCAAACTCCAAATTTGAAGCCTATTTTCTCAAAGCCTATACAAGCAATTGATTTAGTTTTTGGAGGTTTTATAGAGAATTTAATCCTCTTTCAGAAAATCTAAAATACAACTCGATTCGTTGAAAATAACCAAAATTATGAGCTAACTTGTGAGACCATGTCAGATTTTAAGAAAATCTCTGAGGTAAAAATTGAGATTTGATTGAGATTCAAACCAAAACTATGAGCAAATTTACAAATTCAAGAGCCAGGAATAGAGATAAAATAAGAAATAGAGAGAAGAAATTTAGAAAAATTGAGAAAAAAAAAAGGTGAATAAGAAGACATTCATATTTTTTCTATTATAAGCTCTTGAATTTTCCTAATTTTGAGAAATTCAAGAGCCGAGAATAGACAAATATTGAGGAAAAGGGAGAAGAATACAATTGATATTCATGTTTTTTTTTTTATTCCTCTGGTCTTCAAGAGCCGGGAATTGACCAAGGTTGGTTCTTACTGAAGTGCCTTACACTTCCATGAACATTTGCATTGAGTTGAGGCACTCCCAGATCGATGACGTCATAAATGGTTATTAGGTAACTACCTCTCTCAAACAACCTTGGGAATAGACAAAAATTGATCTGGAAAAGTTGAGAAATACAGAGAAATATCCTATTCAAAATATCGATAATTTCTCATATCAATATCGACATGAAAAAGATTAGCCGATACCTATATGAATATCGATAAACCCTTCTCTACAAATACCGTTGCCGCCTCTTCTTTTTCTTGTATTTTCAGGCATTCGCCTTGTAGCAAAGCAACATGGTCCAATGTCAAGGACAAAAACATTTTAAACAAAAACTAGTTTCCATGCCAATTATTACAATAATCTCTCACGCCCTTCAATAATTGCTATGCAAATCAACTCGTTAACCTTGTAAATCTTGTAAATCTCACAAAGAAATCATTTCAAATTGAAAATTTACACTTGGCTGTACTTTTTTCTGCACCATAATGGCTGTAGCCACAACTTCAAAATGGTCACCCTTTGTTGTAGTGCTGTTGACGTTTTTTGTAGTGATTGCCGCTGGAGAAAACAAAATTTTGGCTAAAAATATGAATTTTAAATTGAATAGCGGCGATTTAATGCCACTCGTAGGCTGTAAGTAATATTTTTAATTCAACAATTGCCCTATATTTATTTATTTTACGATAATTTAATCTAAAGCAAAATAAAAAAAAAGAGGTTGTCTCATAAAAATTATGACGTCACTAGTATGCTTTTATTCTAGTTGGAACTTATCAAATCCGAGGGACGCAATTGATTCACGATGTTTTGGATTATGCTCTTGCAGCAGGTTATCGCCTTATAGACACAGCAAAAGTGTACAGGAATGAAGAGGACATTGGCAAAGCCTTAAAAGAGCTGTTGCCCAAATACAATTTAACTAGAAGCGATATTTGGTTAACAAGCAAACTATCACCAGACGATCAAGGCGAACAAGCTTATGAGGCTTTAAAAGAATCAGTTAAAAACCTGGATTGTGGTTATTTGGATTTGTATTTGATTCATTGGCCTGGCAGTCACGGGGTTAATGCTTCAAATGTTAATAATTCTCTGTTGAGGGATGAAAGTTGGAAGCAAATGACTAAAGGGGTTAAAGAAGGCTTGACTAAAAACATTGGGGTGTCTAATTACTTAGTAAGACATTTAAAAGAGCTACAGGCAAATAACCATGGAGTTAAACCTGCAGTTAATCAAGTTGAATGGCACCCTCACTATCATCCGCAAGATTTACTAGACTATTGTCGCGAGGAAGGTATTATGTTGCAAACTTATTCTTCATTGGGAGGCACCGGAAATCCTGATCTAATCTCAAGCCCAAAAGTAGCAAACATTGCAACAAAATTAGGCAAAACTCCTGCACAGGTGCTTTTAAGATGGGCCTTGCAACAAGAACTCGGAATTATACCTAAGGCTAGGTCTGAAGCTCATATACGGGAGAATATTGAGTTGGATTTTGTTATACCTGAAGAGGACATGACAATTTTGAATAGTTTTAGTTTGAATAAGTATGCTTGGGATCCGGAAACGATTGCTTAATTTGTTTTGAGATTAAGTTACTCTATAGTATTTTTTTTACAGTTATAATAGCAAATATAAATATAAATAATTATTCCAACATCGATATTTTTATTTCAATGCCTAATGGCAAGGATATTACACACTACACAGGATAGATTAATAATGGCCGTTTCCACCAACTATTTTAGGGGAGCCCTAACGATAAGTATTCCCTAAAATGACCTTTTTATATGGAGAAATGTCAGTTTAGGGAATACTTATCGTTAAGGATCCCCTAAAATAGTTGGTGGAAACGGCCATAAAGGTCTGTGTGTAGATCAAATCAGCTAGAATCTCACGAAGTACCAGTGATGACGTAGCAGCTCGTTTACAGAAAACTGTAATTTCAATTTTCTGTTGCTCCATAAACACTGAACAGCTGTTTTTGTTGTCATCTATCCATAGGCTGTGTGATTCACAGCTATTTATGTACAAATTTAATAATATTTAACAAATAAATAATTTATCATCCACTCAGATAAGTAACTAAATGTAAAAATGAACATTGCGAACTACTTTCAAAAGAACCAGATGATTGCCAAAGTCGAAAAAGTACAAAAATTCAAACAAAAATCCTTAAACTTGGAAGACTTTGATCTAGCAGAGTTTCCCGATATCATATTAAACTGCGACAGCCTTAGGAGTCTTATTTTGCAGCGCAATCGTATAGCAGAACTACCCAAAGAAATCGGCATACATTTAAGAGGCCTAAAACACTTGTCGGTGCAATTCAATAATTTCCAAAGTTTTCCTGAATGTCTTAAAGAATTAACGACACTGGTGAGTTTGAATATAAGTCACAATCCTATAAAACACTTGAGGGAGGATATTGATTGTTTCAAAGAGCTTAAATGTTTGTGGTGTAATTCTTGTGGCCTTAAAACAATTCCAAAAAGCTTGGGAAATTTAAGCAAACTTGAAACTTTTGGGGCTAGAAATAATGAAATTAAAATCTTACCTAAAACAATTACTCAACTAAAAGAATTAAGGTAATATTTTTTGTTTAAAAATTGCAACAAATATATAATGAGTTGAGTTTTAGTTGGCTTTCACTTGAAGGTAATTGCATTGAACAACTCCCTAATGGTTTTCACAAGTTAAGTAACTTGCATCATCTCAATTTGAATAGGAATCATTTCAAACAAATACCAAAAGTGTTGGTAAAGTTGAAATCTTTAAGGTTTTTGCATTTGCAAAGAAATAACATAAAAATGTTAAGTTGTGATACAATTATGGCCCTAATTAATGTGAAAATTTGCCTTATAAATAACCCAATTGAAAATGGACAAGAGTTTATTGTAAGTAATTCATTTATTAGTTTTATGATAAATATTATAAATATTTTTAATAGGAATTCAAGCACTTGCTTCTAAACCCTTCAGACTATCAACAAAATCCAACTAATGAAGAAGACATGATTACAGACTCATCTGAGGACGATTCAGATTGGGAAAACAGCACTGACACTTTATATTTAAATTATGACAGCTCTTCACAAAGCCCCCAATCAGATGAAGACGATGAAATTGTTAAAAATATACCAAAATGTTCAAGATTTTTTTTGTGCCAATAATAATTTTTTATTTATGATAATTACATTGTTTTATTCATAATATCTTAATAATTTCCTCAAAAACTGCAACAGGTATAAATATAAGATATTGAGGAACAATTATTGATACCTTGGAGCAAGACAGAAACAACAAAATTACAAATAAATATTCATTATTTGCATTCTTCATGATAAGGTTCCAAAGACCTCAAATCCCTCCAAGTAGGAGGCAAATTACAATTCAAATGCTTCAAGCACCTTTTACAAGGAGCACTAAACAGAGTAATATAGCTGTGAAACCAATGCATAAAAGATCTAACTGCAAGTTCTGGCATCATTGGTGAATGAAAATGGCACATGGCAGCGTGGCAATTTTCAGTCACTTTTCTGAACACCCTGTATCTGGATTCGGTCCAAAGATCGTTGCCTTCTGACAGGTTTTTGACCACCACATACTCAATCATTAGACCTTTAAAGGCTATGATTGCCTTTAAAACTCGGCCTAATGAGACTTGTATTACTGGGTTTGGTACTAAAGGCCTGTTTGGAGTAATTGTGACGTCATTAAACAGCCTGTCAATGCTTATAATGAGGTTTTCAATTACTTCTGGTGCAACATTGTGGTTGCTGGTTTGAGTCTTTCTTCTTTTAGTTGTACTGAGGGTTTTGTAAGTTTTATTAAAGGAATTTGAAGCTAGTATATTGCCAGCTAATGCGCTATATTCGCGTATTTTGTCAGTCCATTTGTAGCTGTTGACAAGTTGTCCGTAGAGCTGTTGCCTTTCCTGTGTAGTTTCTTGGCTCAAATAAGTGCTGTTGCCCAAATTAAAAGCGCTAGGAGGCGGAGTGAGACTTGCCACCGAGCCTTCTACGTCTCGCAAATTGTTGTTTACCGTAGTTAGAAGTTCTTGGAGTTCCAAAATGTATTTGTTTTCTTTGGATTCTTCGCCGTGATCGGCGCGCAGGCCGTTGCTAATCGATTCGAAGACTCGACGTACATTGGAACGCAGGATTTTCACTGAATTTAATGCGGAATTTAGGCCTTCCAAGTCGCGTTCCATATTTGTTTAGTTTTGTAAAGGATTTTGCATAAATTGAAACTCAAAAAACACAACCAAAGCCAGTGTCAAAGAAGTAAACAAACAGTAAAAATTTGAGGTTATGTTCTATAATTAGGCACACAATCCATCTGTCAAAAAAGAAAATTCAATATGGCGTGGCGGCCAAGCAAGCTTGTTTTGAATATGTTTTTATGTGTATTTTAAATTATTTTGCTTAGAGTTTTGCTTGTAACTTTGATTTTGATTATTCAATAGAGAGATATCGGTAACCCAAATAGTGTCATGCAGTATTAGCGCCTACGTTATTTTGACATTAAACCTATGCGCGATTCGATTTTTAACACTACGTACCAAAATAACGTTACCGCATAACGTAATTTACCCAGCATTTACGTTAAGCGCTATTTCGAATAACGCCTAGAAATAACGCAGTGGAATAATATAGGTTATATTATGTTTATTGTTTTTGTTTATTTCATCATTTTTGTTGTGTTCAAGTGAATATGGATTGTTCAAAAAATAGTAAAAAAGCAAATCCTCTGTCCCTGCCATAAACAACAGACAACACAAATCAAATCACAACAAGGTACAAGTTATGCTAAGGTTATAAAATAACGGTTGCGAACAGACAAATTTTACGTTAAACTGTTTTCCGATAACTCTAATTTGAAAGTATGATACCGCTTTACTTTAAAAAGATAACTCCTGACGTTATTACCGTCCATACGCGTTATCTCATTCACCGATATCTCTCTAATAAGAAGTTTGTTGACTAGGGGCCAAATTACAGTATATCTGCATCTGCAAATTTGCAGTTCTGCAAATATGGCCGACTTGCAAATGTGCTCTATTTGCAGAAACAAGCAAATTACAGAAAAAAATCTGCAATTTCTTCATATTTATCAGAAAAAGTGTTTGGGCGCTACTGATTTACCATATTCAAATGCCAAAGTTGTCGAAGTGATTGCAAGGACTTGCGGGACCGTTTATCACCATGCGCAAATTTGCAGGCGACTTGCAAATGCGTTCTGCTTCTGTAATACGAAAAGTCAGACTTGCAGGTCCTGCATTTGTATCTTGGTGTTGCAGAGCTTCTGTAATTCTGGGCTAGGTATCTAAACTATTAAATCGGGCAGAAACTAGATATTTTTTTTGGCCCATGTGTGGCCGCCACGCCATCTTGAGTGTCACCTGGTTTGAATTGCTTAATATAAGCGTTTTCAACGGCCGAACTGTTCTGTAATCGCGGTATGTTGAACTAGAGCATGATGAAAACGCTTAATGATCAATTCCTTATATCGATACATGTATTTTCTCTTTCTATTTGACGCTACGTTATTCAAAAAACAGGAAATTGCCTTCCAAAGACAATTTTGCAGCAGAAATAAATAAAACCAATGCGCATTTTCTCAATAAATACGAAGTACCTACACCCCGAATCGTTCGGACTGTTCGGTAACTCTGTCTGGTGCGTAAGGGTGCGTTGCGTTTGAAGTATACGTGTGTTTTTTTAACGAATACTTGTGTTTTTTGACGCATGCGTATTTTTTCAACGTCTGCGTGTGATTTTTTGACATATGCGTGTTATTTTTGACGTATGCGTGTTATTTATTTGATACCCATATCATGAAGGTTGATCAAGGGTGATACACACTACTAGTACTTTGTACTACTACATGGTGGCCTTTCTTTATAGAACCTGTGTGTAACAAATCCAATTCCCCCCTTCACCCCTCCAACACGCCAAATCACCACTTGTGACGTAGACAAAACGGCCCTGTACAAAATCAATAAAACTATGTATAGGGTGTTTTTTTATACAGGGTGTCCTTAGATAAACTGACACATTTTGCAGGTAAATATCTCGAAAACGGAAAAAGATAACGAGATGCGGTTTGTTCTGAGAGAATACGGATTTTTTAAAGTTTTTTTCCACATTATTACCGAATCCTGAAATTTGCGAAAATTTGGTTTTACAGACATGCGATATTTTGAAATAAAATTACTGCCTTATTTTTAATGAAACACCCTGTATCTTTTGTCATCGTCAGAAAGCCTGATTCTTCTACTTTACAAAAATGTATAATTTTTTTCAATTATCTTGATCTTGGATCATGAAAATTGCACTTTGTCGAAGGGAATACCATCGATTAACCAAAAAAAAAAGAGAATTAATTTGTGCTTAATACCTACTTTTATCAACTAATTAGCGCATAGTTAACTAATAATACAAGTATTAAACACAAATAAGTGCATATAAAACACAAATTAATAATTATCTTTTTTTTTTTTGGCCAGTCGACGGTACGCTCTTCAACCAAGTGCAATTTTTACGATTCAATTTCATGATAATTGAAAAAAAAGCATAAATTTTTGTGAAGTAGAAAAGTCACGCATTCTGACGATGACAAAATATACCGGGTGTTTCATCAAAGAATAAGGCAGTATGTAATTATTTCAAAAAAATCGAATGTCTGTAAAACTAAATTTCAGGATTTGTCAATACCATGAAAAAAAAACTTTAAAAAATCCTTATTCTTCCAGAACAAACCGCCTCCCGTTATCTTTTCTCGTTATCGAGATATTCACCGTTAAAATGTGTCAGTTTATCTAAGGACACCCTGTATATTGACACCACACCTACAGCCTTTACCTTTACAGGTAGATGAAAGGTGTAAATAGAAAAGTTGTACAGTATTGGTTAAATTTTTAAAATCCATGGTCAAAAACAAAAATTGAATGTCAGAAATGTAAAATAATGCATGCTTTCAGCTTTTTTCAAATGAGATGCGCTATATTTGGTTCTATATTCTTGAAGAACACAATTTCTCGATTCAAAAACTTTATAGTTTGTCTATATTTGGTTGAACTGTCTCCAACATATTTGGTTCTCAAAATTTTAAAAATATTATCAGAGAAACCAAGTACCTCAAATTTTACCTGCAGCTTTCACCTGTATAGTAGAATGGTTCACAAAATCAGTAGTAGGATAGTATTTTTACAATTTTTGGAGCCGAATATATGAAAGACTGTTCAATCAAATATAGACAAACTATATATTTTTGGAATCGGGGCATTGAGCTCTTCAAGAATATAGAATGAAATATAGGGCATCCCATTTGAAAAAAGCTGGAAGCATGCAAAATTTCATATTTCTGACAAATTTTGTTTCTGACCATGGTTTCTAAAAATTCAGCCAAAACTGTACGACTTTTGTATTTACACCTTTTTTCTACCTGTAAAAATAAACGAGGTAGGTGCGGTGTCAATATATAAAAAAACACCTAGTATAAATAGTGGATTATTGCGAAACTTATAGGTGAAACTCTGCGGGACGAGCGTAGCGAGTTCCGCAGCCATCTACTCACAAATATACTGTTGAATTGTTCAAATAAGACATTTACTTGAAACATGTAGTTTTTAAACTAAAGAGAATAACTCGAATTTGAGCCAGTCAGGTTAGTATCGTAATTTAACAATATATTGATAAATAGATGACTGCGGAACTCGCTGTGCTCGTCCCGCAGAGGTCCACCCATAAGTTCCGCAACAATTCACTCATTTGTACTTGAATAACTTGTCACATTATGTTACTAGTTTGGTAAAGTAACATTACTAATTCCTGTTGAAAGACAAATTGACAAAAAGTGAATATTCATAATCTTACAAATTCTTACTTTACATAATAAGTTATTGTTCAAGTACAAATAAGTTGAGTGTTGCGAAACTTATAGGTGGACCTCTGCTCACCAATATAGGTACTGCTGAACTGTTCAAGTAAGACATTCACTTGAAACATGTAGTTTTTGAACTAATGACAATAACGCACATTTGAGTGAGTCAGTTGGCCATGCTACCCCTTTTTCTGTCTCGGAAAAATGCTATTCGTCCAAGCATACTTATAGAAAAACAACAATAGAAACATCTTCTCTGTAACGCTTAAAGTCTCCAGCTCATAGGAGTAGTACTTTTGTTCCTCTCTTGATTTTTGGTGGCTAAAGTATAGTAGGTACTGGTTTTAGGTTGCCATCTTCCTGCCTCTGTAATAAAATTTCGGCCGTCTTCGGAGGCATCAGTGTGGATTTTTGTCGAGTGAAGTTAACAGACGAGCTATGTGTGCAAAATTTCTGACATATACATATAGGTGAATTGTCGTATCTGATGTAGGTACGTTTTGAAAAACAGGAAAATTTTGAACAGCTGAAATTTTTGTGGTACCAGATCGTACTCCAAATTAACTACATGTCGGAGATATTTGATGATACCAAAAAAACAACATTTCCGCATTTCTAAATGTTTCAAGGACGTCTCCCAAAGCCAGCAATCCTGAACTTACATTGGGCGATGGTACCAGAATCTCATCCACGTAGGCTAAAGCTGTCGAAAACCTCATCGAGCTTAAAATCTGATTGATGGTGCGTTGAAACACTGCTGGAGCGTTGACTAATATACAAATGGCATCCTCAGATATTCATACTGGCCATCTGGTGTTACGAACGCTATTTTCTCTCTAGAATTTTCTGCAATAGAAATTTGCTGATAGCCACTTGCCATGTCCAAAGTGATACCTGTATTCTTTAAGTACCTCTAGATTTTCATCCACCATTTAAGTGAGAAAAAATTTATATTTCCAGTTTTGAGCCTGGAAATCCATTCGCGGTTTGTTTTGTTTGATGGAAAGACCCTACTCAAAAAATTCTGAAAGTTTGAAATGTGTCAGTTTACCAAAAGACACCCTGTATAAATTTGTATTAAATCAAAATCAATCCAAGCATCAAAAGGAAATACATTTTGCCAAGAAAATCCCTCAGCGAAAACTAATCCCACACACCCATCCCCATATGCAATACAATTCCCCACTAAAAAAGCTCAAGCTCAACAGTTGGGCAATTGTTGCATAGCCCAGTAACCAGTACCAGTACACATATTTGGTTCGGTAGTGGTGGTACTCTTTGGTTCAGTTCCGACTTAAATGACCTCGATGCGCGCGTTTCACTGTGAGAACCTGAAGAACAATAGTGATTTTCAATACCTAATATAAATAATATGACTGTCTCTTATGGTGGACTGGTACCTAATGGTAGTACTTTTGGATGTTTTTGGAAAGTACTTGGAATGTGAGTTAGTTGGATTATATATCCATATTGATTCGAGTTTATTGTAAAAATTATTCAATTCTTTAAAAAAAAAAGCTAATAATTGATTGATTACTAAAAGGTTATTTATTTGAGCTTTCTAAACTCAAGGTGTCCCATGCAAAAACACATTTTGCACCATCATCAAAAATATGGCATTTCGTGCCTTTGCAATTATTTATTTATTTAATAATTTTTACCATTTTTATGAGCGCACGTACGTGCTCAAGTTGCAAAACTTTTAAAAACAATAATAATAAAATTTAATTGTTTCGCAGTAAAATGATATACAATGTATAAAGTTCCATTACATATATTTTTTATAATATATGGGAAAATTTTCGCATCTCCAAACAGGATATAAAATTGTCCAAATTGCGCCATCGATAATATCAGTAATTAAAATCCTATTATATTTATTCATTCTGGCTCGAGGCTCAATAATTTCGTATGCAATATGTATGTATGGTATATCCCTATTTTCCTATGTAATTTTACATTGCATGTAAATTTGCTTAAGCACAATTTTAGGTTATCAAAAGGGATTTCACTCATCGACCTACATGGAAAATTGATATATTTTTTAAATTGTTCCCTATTAAAGCTCCAAACTGTTTCAAATTGGTTCGAAAGAGTTCTAAATTAAATCCTTATTGTTCTAAAATTACTCTGAAGTTTCTCAATTGTTCCAAAATGTTCTTGAAACTTCTTGTAACTTGTAATGTAATGTTGTTAAAATGAAATACCATGTAAAGCAAAGCTCCGATACCTACTTAGCTAAAAAAATATAAAATTAAAACTTTCAATAATTATTCATTTCATCAGCCTTGTCCTTTAACCGATGTACCTAATTATTTAAATGTTTCTATATAAAAACACTTGTTATAATAATTATTTTTTCCAATGATGATATCAAGTGAAGCAATAGGAAGTATAATTTTACTTTAGCAAAACGAGGAAACAAATAACACATCGTAATTAATTCAAAAAACTTTATATTTATTGCGTTTCAAAAACAATGGAGGAAACAAGGTTTTAATTATTATTTTAATCGACGAAATTGCATGCAAAAATACCAGTTTTAATCAGGTTCTAATGGTACCTTTCAAGGTTGTTGTAGAGGTACCTCGTGCAAAAGAAGGGTCGCTGACCTGTTTTTTTTGAGATGTATAGAGGTAGGTACCGTTAGTAGATTGATTTGTGGTTCCTATCTTCTAAGTGAACTCATTAGGATTACTTGTCGCACCTAATCAACATTCCTTTTCTTTTACTTTCACATGAATTTCAGCTAATTGTTACAAGAATACTTAATATATTTGTATGAAGCTTTAACAGTTAAATAATGATGATTTTATTGTTATATCAAAACAAATTACTACATTACCTACTCATTATACAATTCACTTGGAAATCTGCAACTTATTGTTTTATTATACAAGGTGTCCTTAGATAAACTGACACATTTTGCAGGTAAGTATTTCAAAAACCAGATGCGGTTTGTACTGCGAGAATGTGGATTTTTTAAAGTTTTTTTGAAACAAAATTACTGAGAAATACCTACTCGACGAACTAACCAATGAAGCAACACAAGCTGGGAATGCAAATCGTCCAGCTTCTCAGCAAAACTTTGAGAGGTCATAACTTTTTCTATTACAGAGAAAGCTGAATCTTTCACTGAATTTTATCTTTTTCAAAGGACTACAATCCCTGGAAAATTCAGCTCATTTGCTCTTATAGTTTCTGAGATAAAATCGTGTTAAGCAATTTGGGGTGATTTATCAATTTTTTTATTTTTCTGAGTGCCTTTTTTCATAAATTTCGGCTTCCAATCTGAGAATAATTTAGTGTATGGAGTTTGGGGTATGTTGATTGACCATTAGGCTACAAAATCTCGACAAAAAAAATTTTGAAATTTCATCGTTTTAGTAAGAAGGTACCTACCTTATGATTTAGATTTTGGAAAATTTTGAAAAGTCATAACTTTTTTTCTATTATAGATAGAAAGCTGAAATTTTCAGTGATTCTTATTCCAGTAGAGGACTAATATCCCTGAAAATTTCAACTGATTTGCACCTATAGTTTCTGAGATAAAATCGTGTTAAGCAATTTGGGGTGATTTATCAATTTTTCAATTTTTCTGAGTGCCTTTTTTCATAAATTTCGGCTTCTAATCTGAGAATAATTTAGTGTATGGAGTTTGGGGTATGTTGATTGACCATTAGGATTCAAAATCTCGACAAAAAAAAATTTGAAATTTCACCGTTTTAGTAAGAAGGTAGCTACCTTATGATTTAGATTTTGGAAAATTTTGAAAAGTCATAACTTTTTTTCTATTATAGATAGAAAGCTGAAACTTTCACTGAATTTTATCCCTTTCAAAGGACTACAATCCCTGAAAAATTCAGCTCATTTGCTCTTATAGTTCCTGAGATAAAATCGTGTTAAGCAATTTGGGGTGATTTATCAATTTTTCAATTTTTCTGAGTGCCTTTTTTCGTAGATTTCGGCTTCAAATCTGAGAATAAATTATTGTATGGAGTTTGGGGTATGTTGATTGACTATTAGGCTACAAAATCTCGACAAAAAAAATTTTGAAATTTCATCGTTTTAGTAAGAAGGTACCTACCTTATGATTTAGATTTTGGAAAATTTTGAAAAGTCATAACTTTTTTTCTATTATAGATAGAAAGCTGAAACTTTCACTGAATTTTATCCCTTTCAAAGGACTACAATCCCTGAAAATTTCAGCTCATTTGCACTTAAGGTTCCTGAGATAAAATCGTCAATTTTTCAATTTGAACTACAGTCTTTGAGATCTTCTATTCTGGAGAGGCGACAGAATGTTACGGATTCAATGGAAAATGTGTCAGTTTTTTTATACACCAGGGTGGATATTTTAAGTAACTTTTATCATAAAATATATGAAATTATATGTTCATCTTCAGATTCAGGAACCTTACGTAATCTAATTTATAGAAAAAAACCCAATTATTTCGTGTTCTAATTGCTCTTTGCGCTTCAATAAATTATTTTAAAATTCGACAAACATCATAGGAAAAACCATCATTCAACATTATCACCGCAACAACAACAACAAACATCCTGATTTATAATGACTTAGCAACAATATATACGACAAAATATCTTTCACTCCTTTGCAACAAGGGGTTCGGCTTATTTGAATATTTTAATGTCATACAAAAATAACATAATCAATTATCATGAGACGGTTCCCCAAACAACGAAATCATATAAAAAACACACCACAACATATTGTGTTACATGTTGTACAAACACAAAGAACCTGTACGCGGTATGCATATTAATAATTAAACTTTCTAAGAAATTTGCTTTGTAATTACAATAAAAATGACCAGACATATTATTACTCCCCCATTAATATATATTGTCATTAACAATTTTCAAATTTATTCCAGATGGAGAGGCAGCGTTTACAAATTAGTATGGAGAGAACTTGTAGCCTACTTGTGTGTATATTATTCAATTAATTTATTGTATAGATATGGATTAAATGAACACCAACAAAGGTGAGATCTCCTTACTCCCAAATCTACCTTAATTGTACCTAATTTCCACCATTGATTTGTTTCCAGGGTATTCGAACGAATCCGATTGTATTTTGGCCAACAAAGCGAAACAATACCAATGTCCTTTGTATTAGGATTCTACGTTTCTTTAGTGGTAAAGCGCTGGTGGGAACAATACAAATTGCTACCCTGGCCTGACACTTTGGCCCTTTTCCTAAACGCTGGCATACCCGGTGCGGTAAGTACGTATTACAACCTCACTGAAATAAGTTCCTAGTAATTATTATGCATATACGCAATTAGGCTTGCAATTAAATGGTCATTTACGTAACCAATTTGTATAGGGTGAAGCATAGAAATAGTTACATAGAACTTTCATATTATATTCTGATAAATTTAAATTCCGCAAACCATATTATAGTAAAAAATTACACGGATTTTGCACAATTCTAGGGCGAGAGACAAAGACTAATGAGACGAAACATAGTGAGATACGCTGTATTAGCATACGTGGTCACCCTAATGAGACTATCCTTAAGGGTGAAAAAACGTTTTCCTACATGGCAACATTTAGTCGACAGCGGTGAGTAAGTCACATACATTACACAACTAGTATAGTGAAATTTTCAAATATAAACTCCTTACAGGTATAATGATGGACAGCGAAAAGAAAATCTTTGAAATGATGGACCAGAAAACTCCAATGTCCAAGTATTGGATGCCGCTAGTTTGGGCTACGAATTTGATTAATAGAGCTAGAAAAGAGGAGCTGACTACCAGCGATCATATTGTACAAACGATTTTACAGGAATTGTCCGATATTAGGCGTAGATTAGGGGCTTTGATTGGTTATGATACTGTTTCGGTGCCACTGGTTTATACACAGGTGAATAATTATTCATTTTATCAATACACTACCTACTGGTTTACCTTGATTGAAATTATTGAAAATAGCAATCAATACAGGGTGTTCTTAAGTCAACTGACAGATTTTGCAGGTGAACAAACCTTTCTAATGAAAAATTGTATGTGATATTCAATGGTATTCCGGATACATGGGGTCATTGATTAGTAATTTCACCCCTCCTAGGGAAAGTTTTGTAAAGGACGAAAAAAATTGTTGGACTTGTTTCATTCCATTGCTAAGGTTCTTGTTTGGAATCTATTTGCTTCCCAGGTTCCATCTTTGTTTGAGTTATTGAAAATGAAGAGAAAGTTAGGGAAAATTGGAGGATTAAAAATGTTGGTTTTGGGCGGGATTCGAACCCGCGTCCTCAGCATTGCTCAAACTCAAACAACTTTATTTTAAAATTCCTTAGTTTTAGAGAATTTAATGCTCTTTACAATGGTATTTAATTTCTTGCAATTTGCTCAAAATTTACCAAAGATATGGGCAATTATTCATGACCATGTCAACTGAAAGGCAACTTAGAGGCTCAATTTCTTAAGAATTATTGGGGCTATCAAACTCAATTTTACATGGATTCATAGGGAATTTAATGCTCTTCCCAATGATATATAATTTATTTCAATTTGCTCAAAATTTACCAAAGATATGGGCAATTATTCATGACCATATAAGGATTTTGAAAATTTTCCAGAGCCAAAAATAGGTTTTTCTGTTTATTTTTGTGTCTGCTTAAAATGGTCATTTGGAATTGATATCAGGGTTGCTTTCCACTAATTTTGACCTGCTCTATCGATTCATAGAGTCAAAATTGAGCAAAACTAAAAAATAAAAAAAATCGAATTTTTCATAAGGGTACCCCTTTGAATTCTGATTTCAAAATATTCAAACCTCAATTGCTAGGTAACCGTTGAGCAAATTGCATTAAAATTTCCAGAATTTGTAGCTTTTATTAAGTTCTAAATGGCCTGTAATTTATAATATTTCCAGATTTAGTTTGAAGTTTTTGACAAAATTTAGACTGAAAAGCAACTTTGAGGCTCGATTGCTCAAAAACTATTTAAGCTATCAAACTCAATTTTACATGGATTCATAGAGAATTTAATGCTCTTTCCAATGATGTATAATTTATTTCAATTTGCTCAAAATTTACCAAAGATATGGGCAATTATTCATGACCATGTCAGGATTTTGAAAATTTTCCAGAGCCAAAAATAGATTTTTCTTTTTATTTTTGTGTCTGCTTAAAATGGCCATTTATAATTGATATCAGGGTTGCTTTCTACTAATTTTGACCCGCTCTATCGATTCATAGAGTCGAAATTGAGAAAAACTAAAAAATAAAAAAATCGAATTTTTCATAAGGGTACCTACCCCCTTTGAATTCTGATTTCAAAATATTCAAACCTCAATTACTCGGTGACCGTTGAGCAAATTGCATTAAAATTTCCAGAATTTGTAGCTTTTAATAAGTTCTAAATGGCCTGTAATTTACAATATTTTCAGACTTATAGTTTTTGAGCAAATTGAGTTTGAAGTTTTTGACAAAATTTGGACTAAAAGTCAACTTTGAGGCTCGAGTGCTCAAAAACTATTCGAGCTATCGAACTCAATTTTACACAGATTTATAGAGAATTTAATGCTCTTTCTAATGGTATATAATTTGCTCAAAATTTACCAAAGATATAAGCTATTATTCATGAGCACTCTACTTTTATTACTATGTAGTGTTGAAACTTGGTGTATGTTGCAACCCAACTTTGAAGTCCAATACCTTAATAAGCCTTTGAGCTATTGACATTAAATCAAACTCAATTTATAGATAATTCAATGCGCTTGAAAATGTAGGCAACTGATCATCATCGTTTTGTATATTTTCACTCTGCAAAATGTGTCAGTTTATCTAAAACTACCCTGTATATAATATTTCCTTCTATATAGGTTGTTTCCTTGGCTCTTTACGTGTATTTCATAGCAGCTCTACTAGGTAGACAATTTGTACCAAACGCCCCAGCAGATATGAAAGGCAAATTAGAAGAACCTGATATGTATTTTCCATTTTTCACTGCTCTTCAGGTACCTTGATATTATTATTAATAATTATTTCAAATATTATTTATTGTAAATTATTATACAGTTTTGTTTCTACATTGGATGGTTAAAAGTAGCCGAAGTATTAATCAACCCTTTCGGCGAAGACGATGACGACATTGAGCTTAATTGGCTAATTGACAGACACATAAAAGTAAGTACCACTTTAACTGTAATTACTTTTACAGTGTATTTTAATGTATAGGCAGCCTACATAATAGTAGACGAAATGCACGAAGAACATCCAGAATTACTTAAAGATCAATACTGGGACGACGTGGTACCAAAAGAAATCCCTTATACAGTTGCCTCGGAGCATTATAGAAAGGAGGAACCCAAAGGATCAGCGGAAACGTATAAAATCAAACCAATTGATGGCTTATATGCTAATCTATTGCCTCAGCATTATAAAAAGAGCCTAGTGGATGATATGTATGCTGATTATGTAAGTGTATATGTTTCAATTCAATTATATATTAATATAATTATTTAATAGGAAAGCGTCGATACTCCTATAGTAGAACGACGCAAAAGCCAAAATTGGTTCTCCAGACAAATATCCAGAACCGGCATGGGTTCGATACGTTCGGCCTCTACTGCCTACTCTTCAGGTGGGATTTTTTCCAGGCCGAGAGGCAATTCGGTGTACGCCAACCCAGAAAACGGACAAATTCCCATTCAACATAAAATGTCCATTTACGATCGGTTGGTCGGCAGGAGATCTGGACGAAATCAGAAATTTCGACCTAGTAAGTTTTCTACCACTGTGTAATCAATATTTTATTATTCTCGGCTCATGTAGGAAATCTTTCACCACTCAATTCCACCACTGTGTAAAGATACAGAGGGTGATCAATATTTGATTATTCCTGGCAAATCTTCTTGGAATAGTTTCTTCCACTTCAAACATTTTTCAGATCAAAAATTTGCCGGTGCATCAGCAATGCACATCAAAAACCGACCAAGAATACCAACCCCCGACGTAACGAAAGAAGTCGTCGAGCGAGAACACCAAAACCGTCACATTTCGTCGCCGGGAAGTCACAGCAACAACCTACCAAGTCTCACTTTAATGCCCCAACAATTACCCAACTACCCAGGCTATCATCATTCCAGCGATGTACCTGTTGTCCAGGTAAAAATCCTAATAATCACATAATCATTATCCTCACTGATCCAATTCCAGGTAGTTTTATCACCAATTCAAGAACTAGACGGTTCCGGTTCGGTTAACAACACCCTTCACGCTCATTCACCTGGTACAGCGGCACTAGCACAAGCAGTCCTGTCACCGACTCTAGGTCCAGTTAGTGTCCCAATGACGGTATCCCAACTCACCCATTTGGGACTAAATTCGGCACGCAACAGCCCCTTATTTGCCAGAGCATTTGAAACTCCAAACTTTAAAAATCCCACATTTCTGCAGGCATTTGAACAAGGGGACAAGTCGCTGACTCTAACCGAGCTGGAACAGCACGAATCTTCAAATAGCTCGGTTGATTCCATTGGTACGGCTGAGGTTAGAGATGAGCCGCCTTCGATCACCAGCACGATAATCAGCGATAAAAGTTCTATAGTTGCGCCTGCGCTGGAGGATGCCGACAAGCTGACTCGGCTGAGTCCTAGCGCGAGTGCACCCAATAATTTAAGCTCGCTTGGAGGTGAGAATCAGGAGAATTTGAAGGCGAGGAAAGTTTCTACGGTGTCGCAAGTGACTGCACCCAAACGAGGCGAAGTTTATGTGTAATGATTGGAATTGTTATAGTTGATTTGCCATTTCTTACCGAAAATTTCTTGTTATTGTTAATAATAGAGTATTTAATTCTCTATCGAATAAGACATGATTCATTGAAATCGGTCCAGGCATTCCAGACTTATAGCCAATGTGAGCTGGCTGGAAAAGTACAATAGCTCCCTATTGAATTGAAGTTTTAAGTGTGCAATTCTGAGTCGTATTCAGCAATGCAGTTCAGTTCAGATAGATCTCAACCGTTAAAAGTGTCACTTGTCATAGGAGTTCATTCAAATCTGAGATGGCGCTTGAACGCAGGTGCACTAAATAGGTCTGTTTCCACAAAAATTACGAACCAGTTGGAGCGTTTTTGATTGGCCCAAATCGCCAACAGCCAATTTCCTGACTATTTTCAACCAATGAAAGACTGGTTTGTGATTTCTGTAGAAACAGACCTATAATTATGTCTCGGAATCCAAGCGCCGAAAATAACTAACTCCATAAATAATAACTCAATCCCTTTGAGTTTTTAGTATTTTTTACATTGAGCCTTTAGGAAATAGTCCTCAAAATTTCACCTTTCCACTCACTCCAGTTTTTGAGTGAAAAATTGTTTGTAGAGTATTACTTTATAAAACATCATTATTTTATAAAAGTCATAACTATATTAATCATAACTCAATCTTTTTGAGTTTTTAGTATTTTTCACATTGAATCTTTAGAAAAAAGTCCTCAAAATTTCAACTCTCCACTGACTAGTTTTTGAGTGAAAAAAATGTTTGTAGAGTATTAGGTACTTTACAATACATCATTATTTTAAAAAAGTCATTCCATTAATAATAACTCAATCCCTTTGAGTTTTTGGAATTTTTTACATTGGATCTCTGGGAAAAAGTCCTCAAGATTTCAACTTTCCAGTTACTTTAGTTTTTGAGTGAAAAAATTGTTTGCAGAGTATTACTTTACAAAACATCATTATTTAAAAAAAATTATAACTCCATTAATAATAACTCAATCGTTTTGAGTTTTTAGTATTTTTTACATTGAATCTTTAGGAAAAAGTCCTCAAAATTTCAACTCTCCACTCACTTTAGTTTTTGAGTGAAAAAATTGTTTGTAGAGTATTACTTTACAAAACATTATTATTTCAAAAAAATCATAACTCCATTAATAATAACTCAATCGTTTTGAGTTTTTAGTATTTTTTACATTGAATCTTTAGGAAAAAGTCCTCAAAATTTCAACTTTCCACTCACTTTAGTTTTTGAGTGAAAAAATTGTTTGTAGAGTCAAAGAATATTTATAGAACATCATTATTCTTAAAAAAATCATAACTCCATTAATAATAACTCAATCCTTTTGAGTTTTTAGTATTTTTTACATTGAATCTTTAGGGAAAAGTCCTCAAAATTTCAACTCTCCATTCACTTTAGTTTTTGAGTGAAAAAATTGTTTGTAGAGTAATACTTTACAAAACATTATTATTTAAAAAAAGTCATAACTCCATCAATAATAACTCAATCCCTTTGAGTTTTTAGTATTTTTTACATTGAATCTTTAAGAAAAAGTCCTCCAAATTTCAACTTTCCACTCACTTCAGTTTTTGAGTGAAAAAATTGTTTCTAGAGTATTACTTTACCAAACATCATTATTTCAAAAAAGTCATAACTCCATTAATAATAACTCAATCCCTTTGAGTTTTTAGTATTTTTTACATTGAATCTCTAGCAAAAAGTCCTCAAAATTTCAACTTTCCACTCATTTTAGTTTTCGAGTGAAAAAATTGTTTGTAGAGTCTTACTGTACAAAACATCATTATTTTAAAAAAATCATATAGGAAATTCGTGTCACACTTTTTCTTATACTACTTTATTTCTGTTTCATTCTTATTTATTGAATTTTTTATATTGCTGTCTCTTCATTCTTGCAAGCTCTTGACCACTCAAGCGCCGGGAATAATCAAAGTTTGCGTCACTATTTAATCTATTTCACTCTATCACTGTCCTTTTCTTAACCATTGAGTTTCCTAAGATAAATATCTATCTTTCAGAATCTTTCTGGAAATGCTTTAAGCGCGAATCTGTCAAGACTGTCAACAATATGTCACTAGTCATCAAAGTTTCTCCAAATCTAAGGTGGCGTTACATTGAACTATCAACGTTGGAGTTGTGTTCACCTAAATCTAAGGTGGCGCTTATTACACTAACGAATAATAATTATCACTCAGAATCCTACTAGAGAAATGCTGAAAACTATGAGTTTCAAGCGCGAATCTGTTACACTGTCAAATTAATAATGTCACTTGTCATTGGACGTTTGTTTCTGAGCATTAAAACGGTCTCAGATCTTGTTATATCAGACTCAGATCCTGTTCAGCAAGTTTGCAAACTACAAGGTGGACTGTCAACAATGTCACTTGTCGTGAAAAGTTTCTGAGCATTATAAAGATCTAAGATCTTGTTCTATCTGACTCAGATCGTGTTCAGTAGGATTGCAAAGTATTCCCGAAATTCGAATATCCAAAAAAAAAGTAAGATAATGCAATTTTGCACTAGCTGACGTCACACACATAACCTCACTTTTGTGGGACAAATATGTCATTGAGGTTATGTGTGAGACATCAGCTAGTACCTTTCACCATTTTGAGGCGATTCGTTCATTAAATTAACTATAATTTTGACGTTTCTGAACCGATTTCAATGAATCAAGTCTTATTCGATAGAGAATTGAATTCTCCACAACAAATTCGATAGCAGCAAAATACAACCTGGCATTTTCGGTATAGTAGGGATGGCAAAAATGTCTACGTTGAATAGTGATGTTGTAAATAAATGGTATAAATATTTTTTTTTTTTTTTTAGTGGAAATATGATAATATACTCCAGCTTTAACATATTGATATGAATGCATATTAGGGTCTTTTGTATGTTATTTTATTTATAATAAATGTTATTTAATGTACTACAGCAGTTTATTTTTGTTAGCTCCGGTTTGTTCCTCTTCAGATAAACTTGCTGGTAACTATCTGATCGCGTTTTTATCCGTCAGATTGCATACCTGACGGTTTTTCAAAAGTTGAACAAATCGGTTAAAGATACAGTTATACTAAAATAATACATTTGCACTTGCCATCAATACAAGCCCCTTCGTATTTTTGACTTTTCAATTTGCAAATTGTAGTACACGCTGATTCTTTTGCATTCACTGAATAGACGGATCTTGAATTGCACGAATCGATCTGTTTATGTCTTTCTTTTACTAGAATTGATTTATAATTGTTTGAAATTTTGTATTTATTTGGAATTCGTACTTACTTCGATTTGGAACCTTTTTTCTCTTGGGTGGTTTCGGCCTTAATGCCCTCATCTCTCCTAGTTCTGGGAGATAATTCGAATTGTTTTTGTTTATCTCATGGTGTCCTTGCTCCATGTCTGTTTTATTAAATGTTTCTACAATAATTGTAATGAAAGTTTAGTTATTTAGACTTATAGGATTGCTTACCAATATAATATACCAATCCTATTAGGATTAAGACAATTTTGAGCAGCATGTTTCCAGTAGAAGTTATCACATACAAATTCAAATTATATTGTGAAAAAAATCAATTTTAAATTTGCAATAAAATGTTATTACAATGATAATCGATTTTTGATAGGAAATATATATTATGATGTAATAACCTATGGTTTAAGTTAAGCAGCGGGACGGTATAAAGACTTTGTAGGATATTTTAGTGTCAGAGAGCATAGTCACTTTCTGCTATAGCCAAGGAGGCTTGGGCACAGCAGGAAAAGGCACAGAAATAAACAGAAAAGATAAAAGGCATTTTGACGAAAGGCATAGAGAATTGGACTCTGAAACCGGAGACAAAGTTAAGGTGTTTATCCTAATCAGAAAGATTGGAAGAAGTGAAAAGTTACTTTTAAGATAGTTTGGACCATATAAGGTACTTGTAGAACTAAATGACGAAGTAGAAAAAATTGGTAGTAGAAAAAAAATAGAGATAGGTACAATCCACGTCAGTAGGATGCTGCCCTACAATGTGGAATACAGAGTGGCCTAAGTAATACGTCCCTCCGTAGAAGAGACGTCATATAATTATTTCTGGAGTAATACTGATAATATATACTACATATTCATGAGTTTCTCTATAACTGAACCTTATGTCACGCTCCTGTTGTGACATCCCAGGACGAAATGTATAGGGGTTGTGCCAATATAATTATTATACAATGTGAGGACGCATATTGTTTTATATCGTGATATTCCTAAAAATATTGTATGCTTATAATCTAGTTTGCTTGAAAAATCTTCAAGTCCTAACCTACGGTAAACTCGATATTATTGTGAAACAATGGGCAGTTTTTCTGTTAAAAGCAAAAAAGACATACACGGTCGTATTTAATCTGGCCTTGGATATAAAACTCGCCTCATTGTTGGACTGGGTATCAGAAAGACAAAAAAATCTTTATTATCTGGTTTCTGTATTAAGTTGTTAAATTGGAATTTAAGGTTCTTATTACGTTTGATCTTTGCAGCAGGGACAACAAACAATAACTGTAATAAGTAAATATTTCCTGGGCAATATTAAATCCACCCGCAGCTTATAGATAGCACAAAACGATAGAACGGTTGTTCTATTTTTTAAGGCATTATTTTCCATTCAATTGAAATAGCCAGTCTTTATAAGGTATTACTATTTTATTATACAAATATTTGACCCACAAAATATCATATACAGGAATAAAATTCCACGACACTGGGTTCCTTGTAATACCCAGTAGCTGTAGCAAAAAGGTACCGGTTTTTACTGGTTTATTGTCCATTGACTTTCATGTCCGATTGGTCAAATATTACAAAAAAACTTTTGAAAAATATAGGAACAATGTTATACCCCACCTACTACTACTAAGTTATGTGTGTGCACTGAACCAAATGTTGATACTTGTCATGTTAGCAGTACATAAATGTTATATTTTATCACATTTGTAGGCCCTACCCTTTGCGGCACAAAATTTAATTTTTTGATAGCGGAGGCATATTTTATTTAACCCTGACATTTGCGTTCTTATACATAGAACAAAGTGCGTGATCTACTTTTACTTACATTTTGTACTTATATCAATCTCTTTGTAGTGTTATTTTGTTTCAAATTTAAAATGTTTTTTGAAACATTTAACATGTGAAGAGGAAGGCTAGAGGTTTATTTTCCCAAAATTTCAAATTTTTCTAGTGGAAATTAAGAGCATGAGAATCTTGGAAATCAACCTACAATAGCTGAATTAATTGGAAATATAGTCTTACACATTTCAAAATTTTCCAGGAAAACTAGTAAAGGGAAAATTTTGAAATTTTTTGCATGTGAAGAGGAAGGTAAGAGGTTCATTTTCCCAAAATTTCAAATTTTTCCAGTGGAAAATAACAACATGAAGAATCTTGGAAATCAACCTACAATTACTAAGTTAACTGAAAATACAACCTCACATATTTGAAAATTTTCCTGGAAAACTAGTAAAGGGAATAATTTGGAACTTTTTTCATACAGAAAGGAAGGCTAAAGGTTCATTTTCCCAAAATTTCAAATTTTTCTAGTGGAAAATAACGACATGAAGAATTTTGGAAATCAACCTACAAAAACTGAATTAATTGAAGATACGGTATGTAACACATTTCAAAGTTTTCCTGGAAAACTAATAGAGGGAAAAATTTGAAACTTTTTGCATGTAAAAAAGAAAAGTAAAGGTTTATTTTCTCAGAATTTCAAATTTTTCCAGCGGAAAATAACATGAGGAATCTTGGAAATCAACCTACAATAACTGAATTATTTGAAAATACAACCTCACGCATTCCAAAGTTTTCCTGGAAAGCTAGTGAAGGGGAAAATTTGAAACTTTTTGCATATGAAGAGGAAGATTAGTGGTTCATTTTCCCAAAATAACAAATTTTTCCAGTAGAAAATAACAACATGAGGAATATTGGAAATCAACTTACAATAACTAATTAATTGAAAATACAGTCTCACATATTGCAAAGTTTTCCTGGAAAAGTAGTAAAAGGGAAAATTTGAATTTTTTTATGTGTGAAGAAGAAGGTTAGAGGCTCATTATCCCATAATTTCAAATTTTTCTAGTGGAACATACCAGCATTAAGAATCTTGGAAATCAACCTACAATAATTGAATTATTTGAAAATACAGTCTCACAATATATTGCAAAGTTTTCTTGGAAAAGTAGTAAAAGGAAAAATTTGAAACTTTTTACATGTGAAGAAGAAGGTTAGAGGCTCATTATCCCAAAATTTCAATATTTTCCAGTGGAACATACCAACATTAAGAATCATGGAAATCAATCTACAATAACTGAATTATTTGAAAATACAACCTCACGCATTTCAAAGTTTTCCTGGAAAACTAGTGAAGGAAAAAGTTTGAAACTCCTTGCATGTTAAGAGGAAGGTTAAAGGCTCATTTTACCACAATTTCAAAATTTTCTAGTGGAAAACAACAACATGAAGAATCTTGGACATCAACCTACAATAACTGAATTAATTGCAAATATACAGCCTCGCACATTTCAAAGTTTTCTTGGAAAACTAGTGAAGGGAAAAATTTGAAACCTTTCGCATGTAAAGAGGAAGGTTAGAGGTTCATTTTTCCAAAATTTCAATTTTTTTTTGTGGAAAATAAGAACATGAAGAATCTTGGAATTCAACCTACAATAACAGAATCAACTGAAAATACAATCTCACACATCTGAAAGTTTTTCTGGAAAACTAGTAGAGGGAAAAACTTGAAACTTTCTGTATGTGAACAGGAAGGTTAGAGGCTCATTTTTCCAAAATTTCAAAGAGAAGAAGAGATGTTTCCAAATTCAAGAGCTGAGAATAGACAAAAATTGATCTGGGCTCACTAATTTATATTACTTTCTTCTCAGATATGGTAATTCTTTATAAGTAAATGAATAATTAATGATAACCTGAGTAGAAATTATCATACGTTAGTAACTCTTATTTATAACGAGTGGACTAAGTTTTGAAACTTGATAATGAGTGGACTCGTTAACACAGAGGTTTACTCGTTACTAAATTCAAGAGCCGGGAATAGACAAAAATTGATTTGAAATTCTGACTTTCCACTATCAAACGTTTACTTCTTTCCAAGATAACTAACATTGTAAATAAATCACGAGTAAAAAATGTTAGTTTTAGTAACCTTAATTCCCTCCCTGATAACAAGTAGATTGTTGTTTTGTAGCTTTAGAATCCTCAAATGAGAAATTTACTTGTTATGTAGAAAGGTTTACTCGTTTTAAAGATAACTAACATAGCAAATCACTTGTAAATAAATCACGAGTAGACAATGTTTATGTGCTAACGAGTAGTGAAATTAGACTGCTTTTTTCTTGAAGATTCTATAGAGTTCAGTTTCACTTCAACAAAAACTAACGATTGGAATAGTAATGGTTTCACAAAAATTTAGTTATTTAACAAAAATATGAAGTATTTTCAAGGAGTTGACAAACACTACCCCTCCGGTAGCCGCAGACATATTGCTCATAATCTCCTTACGCGATCTGACTTTCCCTAACGCTTCAAAAAAACAAAAAAATAGTATGCAATTCATAAGCAATCAGCCGGAACAACAGATGATGGTACCGCTTAAGGGCCATTATTATCATTACGAACACTCGTTAATTATTTCCGACTTTCGTGATTTACCAGAATATTGGCTCTTCGGATAACAAACTTCTCTGTGGGTTTATAAATAATTCTCGCGCAATAAACTTTGGTAATATCTTCTTTCGAAGTCGCGGTATATATCGGTACCGCCATGGTTGTACCATTCGCCCGGGGAACAATAAACATGACAATGGTACCAAGGCCGAGACGCTATTTTCTCTGCAACGCGAGTATTTTTTTTTTTTTTTTTTTGTTTTCAAGAGAACCACGATAACGAAAAATATACTTCGGCGTGGTGTGGTTTATTGTCAAAGAAAAATCACGTTTAATTGAAGCTAGAAATTATTTATTCAAAAACGTGTTAAAATAAGTGGGTACCTACTGGTTCCAATATCGTTGAATATTTTGCACAGAAGGCAATTTCGTGTTCTCAGGTCACTCACGACACAAACCTTTTGTCCAGGTACCATTTTGTCAATCAAACACGTCACATTTATGTTTTTTTTGTCTAGATTTTTTTTTTTTTAAATGTCCAGACCAAGCGTAAGAGGCGAAGAACCAGAAGATAGCAACACCGAAAATTATCAAGAACTTATAGTCGATAATTTGACGGAGGAAGGTTCTCTTGAAGCTCTCGAAGACGATTATGTTCCTCCTGATACAATTTCTCCAGTTCGATATTCATTACAACATGATTTTTTTGAACAACCACATAAGGTACTTATACATAATTAAATGTGATAATTATTTGTTAAGAATGACAACATTTAGGAAGAAAAATTTGGAGATATTACTGGCATGGAAGATGATGAAACTAGAACAATAAGCAGTGGTGAAACTAGCCAAGAGCGAGTTAAGATGGTTAGCATAAACGTTGAAGAAATTGATGATGAAACGGTAGACGAAGAAGACGATTCATATTCCCCTAGATTATCTACGTATAGCGATTCAAGTAAAATTCGCCCAAGCATCAATTACGACGTGAGACGTCGCCTGGTCTCAACTGTAGAAGAAGACATGGAAAAGCTTTTCTCCTTAAAACAACCAGACAACATTATACTTTTTGACGATACCCAAGAATCAGAAGAAGCTGAATCCGAAGCCACAATAGTCGAAGAAGAACAAGAACATTTCGACCGCACTCCATACTATGAACAATACGATAAGTTAGTTGACGAATCAGACTTTAATAGACCTAAAAATAATCTCCTACAAAAACTCATCATCATGTATTTGAAACGAAGAAAAACTGAAAATATACTCAAAGATTTGGAACCTCCGATGGATCAAACAATGAAATATGGCCAAAAACTGGACGCATATCGCGAAATGATGGATATTAACGTCGAGCAAAGGGCCTCGGTGGCTGAAGATGTTGAAACGTTGAGGCAAAAGCGAAATTTGAAAATTCAAGACATTAAACATATATTAAAGATGATGCAAAATAGAGAGAGCAATGTGGGACATGGCCTTATCTATGCTAAAACAGGAAGTCAAATTTCTGATAAGTTGGTTGACAGGTTGCTGAAAAGACAAACAACTTTAATCGAGCAAGTTTCTTCAATGAGATTGAGTTTTATTAAATTAAGAGTAGGTACTTAATTACTTAATACTTAGAGTAAATTTTCCACGTTGCTCATTCGATCACTGCTCCATCATGTATATTATTCTTATTATTTTAGGATTTAGTCCAAGAAAAAATCGAAAAAATCACCAAACTCGACACGTTAGAAAACAATCTCCTTTTGGCCGATTACGAGCAGCTCAAAGTTGAAAATCGAAGTCACGCTGATAAACTAGAAGAACGCGACGAAGAATTGGCCAGATTACGAACAAAGTGTACAAACACGATTCAAATTTTGGCCCACGTAAGAGAAAAATCGTTCGCTTTGGAGGCGGATTTGCAAGAAGAACGAGAATCGTTTTCAGACGTTGACTACAAGATTCGAGATCAAAGAGAGACTTTGGCTTATCTCAAACATACCAGGGATGAATATAGGCAAATGACGCGAAAACTTAAAGATAGTTCAGGGCTTTTATTGAAACCTGCTCTTTTAATTGATATGGAGGAGTCTCAAGAGGAATTTTTGAGTTTGGAAGAGGAAATTATTGAATGCAAACAAGATGTGGATATTAAAAAAAGTAGAGTGCGAAAACTAAGGAGACTAATAGAGGTTTTAAAACAGGCAAAAAAGGCTGGTGAATTCAAGAAAATTGAGTGTTATAAAAAACTAATAAAGCAAAAAAGTCTTACTAGTAGTAGTAATACTAGTAAGGAACCATCAGTGAAATCAGAGCCAGCAATAGGAAAGTTCAAACTGACTGGGATTTACAAAACAAGGCCCACAATGTACATTCCTATATTTGAAGAAGACGCTTTTGATGGAATTTTGAAAATTCGACCTCATCCTAAAGTGTTCAATAGAAAAAAATAATAAATAATTACGCTTCTAAAACAATTCAAAGTTTTTACTTATTAGTGGAATATTTTGACAGGTTCTACAAGGAAGTCCAATAAGCTATTTGTCTACGACTCTAGGTTTTCCAAATTGAATGTTTACAGATTTCCTAGAAAGTTTTAACTTTGAAAGCTGGTAACACAAAAATTAGGCAACTATTGAAATTTTTAATAGAACCTCTTAGTAGAAAATTTTATCCTCTATCGAATAAGGTATAATTTATTGAAATCGGTCCAAGCATGGCCAATTTATTGAGACCATGTCGAGTTTAAAAACGAATTAGAGGTTGAAGACCCGATTTGGAGTTTTGAAAACTTGGGAAACCCATTTTTCCCAGATTATAGTTTTCGTCAAATGCTAAAATGTCTTATAAGTCATAACACAAAAACCATCATGTCTGGGCAAAGTTAAAGAGCATTCAGCTATATTCTATTAAAACTCATTAGGTTGAAATAGTGGCCCACTGCTACACTTACCTTAAATAGTATAATCGTGCAACAAATGGGATCCTAACCTATTATGGTGAACGGTTTCCTCAGGGGACACCAATTACCAAAAAGAAATAATGAAACCACGAATTGCTGTTCTGGATGTCAGTGAAACGCAATTTCAATTGGTCAAAAATAATAGTTTAAAGAGGAAAATATTGAAAACATTTACAGCGAAATGCTCAAAGTCCAATATCAAACTTGCTCAACTAGAAGTAGCTTACCAAAGTTTTGATTTCTATGTATCTATTACCCCTTAAAAAAATAACAGAAGGAAAATTCATTTGGAAAGTTTATAAGTGCATAAAGGGACTTTTCTAAGACCTGTGGAGCAGGGTCAAAAGGCTATAAATAGTTGTTGATACTTACGAAATTTAATAATTTGTACACCAATCAATTATTAGAAAATTCGGTCATGAATGTTGACTAAAACTCAAAATGCTAATTATTATTTTAATAGTTTATTCCTCCACAATGGTAAAATAGTCTACTGTACTGGTGAACGACGAAAATTAAAATAAATAGATAGGCAAAGAAAGATACAAGCTTGTTTACATTACCCTGGTCCCTTTTTTCTATTACTTATTTCATAGTGATGATTCATCAATTAGGTATAATATAATAATTAAGAAAAATAAATCCTTGCTGAAATGCACAAAACATCAATTTCAGATTGTTTCGAAAATGTGTTGAAAAACTTGGAATAATTTTGATTTTGACATTTTGAGAATATGGACAACTTTTGTATTTACACCTTTCATCTATTTATAAAGGTGAAGGCTGTAGGTGGAGTGTCAATACATAAAAAAACACCCTGTACTTGAATAATAACTTCCTTATAATAAGAATCAGTAATATTATTTTACCAAACTAGTAACAATGTGACAAGTTATTCAAGCACAAATAAGTGAATTATTGCGGAACTAATGGGTGGACCTCTGCGGGACGAGCGCAGCGAGTTCCGCAGCCATTTATTCATCAATATGTTGTTTAATTACGATACTAACTTGATTCAGTCAAATGTGAGTTATTCTCAATAATTTAAAAACTATACGTTTCAGGTGGATGTCTTACTTGAACACTTCAATAGTATATTGATGAGTAGATGGCTGCGGGACGAGCGCAGCGAGGTCCACCCATAAGTTCCGCAACAATCCTCTTATTTATACTTGAACAATAACTTGTAAGATTATCCACTTTTTGTCAATTCGCCTTTCAACAGGAATTAGTAATGTTACTTTACCAAACTAGTAGTATATTGTGACAAGTTATTCAAGTACAAACCAGTGGATTGTTGCGGGTGGACGCAGCCATCTATTCACCATGCTGTTCAAGTACAATACTAACCTGATTCACTCAGTTATGAATTTTTTTCATTAGTTCAAAAACTACACGTTTCAGGTGAGTGTCTTATTTGAATAGTTCAACAGTATATTGGTGAGTAGATGGCTGCGGAACTCGCTGCGCTCGTCCCGCAGAGGTCCACCCATAAGTTCCACAATAATCCACTTATTTGTACATACCAACTGTACTTATTGTGTATCAGTATATTATGTACCTTCTGGTATTACTTATGTAGATATGTACTAAAATGAAGAAATTGTTGAGATTTTGTGTCTAAATGATAATTTGAAACCTCCCAAACTCCATAAATCAAAGTATATGAAATTTATGAGAAAAGGCACTCAGAAAAATTGAAAATTGATATATATCCAATCCCCACTTTTTTTTACTAGAGAGGTTGCAGTAGGAAAACTCTGGTGTGCATAAAACGATATATTAAGCATTGTGTGGTAGAAATTCGAAAAAAACTAGTTTTTATTTGATTTTCAGAAGGTTGCAGGGAAAAAGTGGTGGTACAGTATAGGAAGTTTTAAATAACAACCCTACATGACTAATTTCTAAAAATTTGAACACGCTATAGCATTAGCCCTTCAAATAATATAAAGGTGTGTTCCATAGGGGATAAAACCCTGTATTTTAAAAATGCGCGATTGCCCATTTATGCAAAATATACCAAAAAATCAGTCATCAAAAATCTATGATGTTTAACAGAAGCATGTTTTTTTAAAAGTCTCCTTTGGGGCGCCACTTTCGCTTAAAAGTATCCCCTTTGGATTCTTATTTCAAAATTTTTGGGGTTCGACATCTTGAAATTCATTCTTACTTCCTTTTCTTCGTCTATATCTCCACTCAGATCCATGATAATAAATGAATAAATTGAAGTTCAAGAGTGAGTGAAACGTAAATTTTGGTAAAACCTGGAAATTGTTGAATAAAAGGAGTGATTTTCTTCCTGATTCCAATAAACTTTTTGATGAAAATGACTAATTTTCACCTCAGAATCGTGCTAAAAAAAGAGTAAAATATGCATTACACTCATTAAATAATAAACATTTCAAGGACTACTTCCATTGCATATGTGAATTTATTATCTTGTATTTCCAGAACAATAAGACTTTTCATGAAATTCAAATTGTCTTGCAGTACCTATGTTGAAGAAATTCGGTAATATTACTTCAGACACCCAACCTGTTGAAAATTACTCATTGATGTTTACCGACAATTGGCATTTATTTTTTCTCTCGAGGAAAGTACATTATCACGTAATCATGGTTTTTAACATTTAGGAATATTAATTATCAATTTCACTTTCGCGAAATAATAATTGGAAATTCTTTTTCCCCTGAGCTGAACTCGTTAAAATTTAAATGCCACTCTTGTAACCTTATTAAAAGTTAGATGGTAGAACCGCTACAAAACTGATTTTCCACATGGTCAGGCCGGTGTATATGTTGTAGTGTTTTTCTAAGCTCTAACATGAAGAAATTCATTCCTTTTAACGGTTGTTCGTTTACTATGGGCAAAACATCGGTAAAGTATCGCCATTGCGCCGCGAAATATTTTAACTATGATAATAAACCATGTTCGAGTGTTTTGTTACACTTGTTCAGGAATGCGACGTGGAATACATCACTTTTTTTTTTTTGGATGTTGCATCGAGCAAAATATGTCATTTGCACGCTTACAATCAATCTTGTAATCCTTTGTAATGAGCCAGCAGAGAAGAATTTGAGCTGTTGAGCAACAAAAACTTAAAACTACTTTATTTAAATATTGCCATACAGTTCTTTATTATATCACTTCCCATTAAAGCTATAACCCAGATCTAGTTTTTTCATTCAACATTGTCTAGCAGAATAAAACCGTATTATTAAGCCAAAATTAGTTTTCATTATTCGACTGCCTTACAATCAATGGCGCCATTAAAATATCTAATTATGTTTTTTCTTTTCGCAGAACGAAAACCACCACCCATAAACCACCTAACAGGCTTCAGTAAACAGCTGGTTTGTCGACTGTTTCCTGCCAAAGAACTCAGTTCTTGGTAATTGCAAGTAAATTAAATCTTCTTCGGATAAATGGATAAGAACCCTAATGCAATGTGCATTACCATTAAAATGTCTGCAAATAGATTTCAGGATTTATGCTTATTGATTGGTGAAAAGAAACTTTCAATTTCTACCTTTTACCTACCTATTTTATTATTATTTTCTAATTTTTCTTTACCAATTGATAAAGCAGGCCAAAAAACGACTCTTACATTTTACAAGAAGATACTAAATATTAAAATGAGTCACTGCTGGGAAACCGTGGAAATATATTTATTTAAAATTCTCATGGTTTCAAGCGGTAAAACTACAAAGTGACGAACCAAAAAAGGCAAAAGGAAGATCAGGCATCAGGAGTCGCATTATGCTACGTGCCTATTTCCAAATCCGAGATAATTTTGAAATTGTCCCAAACCCATTTGAACTACTTACAGAAAGAAAAATTCGAAATACGGTTACTATGACAGTCAATCACCGGGTCGTTATCATCCGTTGGACATTTACTCACGACTTTTGCTCGGGGACAGCCAGGCTTTGGATTGGATTCCTTAGGAACTTATCACGAGCGTAAAACTAAAAACTCTAATAAATCTGTTTCTGGTTTTTAGCTTTAAGCTACAGCGGTTATTTCTTCTTGACCAATCTTATAGAATCTTTAATTTTTAACTAAACCATTTTCTCACAATCATAAACCAATGTTATGATGATTCCGTCATCGCATGAATCATTTAATAATCAGGCACTGAAACGTAGCAATTTCGGGTAATTCCTCTCTCCTATTTGTTTGGATGATAGGAAAATTGGCACGATCAATCATCGATGCTCGAGGGGGCGATTCGATTTACAGTTTTAAATAAACCAAATTTCAAATTCCATGTGGCACGGAAGCAAAAATATAATAATTACTAAGTAAAACCGTGGCACGAATCAAAACAGTACCGGAACGTGATGGTGCACTCTTTGTCGGTAGTAGGTAAACATCGAAACGCAGATGTCGTATGCCCTGTAATGGATTATCAAAAGTAATTTCACGGTCGCAAAAATAATAGTGCACGATTTCTGTTTCAGGAGCGGAGCATTTATTTTCAAGAAAGTACCTATTTTCAACTCAGAATCTTAGTTGAAAGACTTATTAATGAGTAAATTGTTGCAGGAATAAGTCCAAATAAGCTGAGATTTTCAGGGATTG